AAATGCATACTTTTTAATGATTGATTAGCATACTCTTAATAATTCAGTAATTAATCTCCTAGTGTCATTAACTGGCTCAGTATTTAGACACTTGAATTTATATTTATGATTTCTGTGTGTATTTAGTATTCAGTTTTACTTTTATTATAAAATGCTCTGTTCATGTATGAACATGAATGTTTTTGTGGTTGTTTTTGAATGAACAGCCTATTATACGGAGGTAAGATGAAAAGAAAATGTCATCGAAACTTTTCTGAAGACAGTCAGTTCCCTTCAGTTTTCCGGGGTGGAGCAATATTTATATAGACGGAGCAAGATTCTTCATTCTGTCTATGGCGCATTGCGGTTGGGTTACGCTGTCAATACAGAAGACAAACCAATGCGCCACTGTCTCTGCATGATGGGCTAACGTATCGGCCCACCGTTAAAAATAAACATAAAGCAGAACATAAGACATTGAACTTAAGAGGAGTGCAGCAGGTACATATGAACATTCTTTTCTAGAATTCTCTGTTATTCTGAGAGTAGAAGATACTGGGTCACCAGATGACACTCGGGCCAGTGAGGGTCACCGCAAAACCCTGGGGTCGGTGAGGGTCACTGAAAAAACTGGGGTCAGTGAGGATCACCAGAAGACAGTGAGGCCACTGTGGGTCACCACAAGACACTGGGGCCAGTGAGGGTCACCATAAGACACTGGGGCCGCTGAGATTCAATTTTGAAGACACAGGCAAGATACTGTAGATGCTGATGTCGAATCAGCTGATTCAATTAAAGCTTGTCATCTTCAAACAATTTCAGACTCTATTTTTCATTATGTAGTCTGTACACATTCTTTATTTTGTGTGTGTCCAGTCAGGTTGAATTTACAAAATTCTGCACTCAGTTCAAAGTCAAAATTCGGCACTCAAAATTTCAGCTGTTGTGTTTATGTTCTTATGTACTGTAACAAACAGTTTATAGAGTGTCGTATCTGTATTTTAACCATAAACTCAACTCATTACTTTTATTTTTCAGCCATAAGTTATCTAAGTCTGATAAAACTGTCAGGTTTGAGTTTTATGTTGTGGATATGGACATTATCGAGGTCTCCAACCTCAACAGACAGTTTCTCTTTAAGTAAGTCTTTATGCACTTTGAAACAGAGATTCAAATTTATTTAGCCACATTTTTACTAGTTAAAAGGGGAATGCAAGAGTCATCCTGCCGGGAATGACAGACTATATAGAATGTGCACTGAAGCTTTACTCATCACAAGTACTGTAGTCTCACCCTCATAATGATAGGCAACACTCATGATGCGCTGAGATGTCTGACTGACTGTCTACTTTTGTCTATGTTCTCTTCAGATCATTTCTTTTCATTGTGCACTTCTGCCAGAGCACTGTATGGGGTATGTGAGAGTGCTGCAGTGACCCAAACACAAACCTTTTGGAGGTGTGTAAGTGCTTTGTTTTCATCCACTTACCTGTATTCAGACCAAGTCTGTTTATGATTTTAAGGGCCCTGCAAATAATTGGGCCCTGATGAAATTACTTCTATAACATTATGAAATATTTCTGCTAAATCTTAGGTGCATTAGATGCTTCACAATGAACATTTATTTAAAAATGGTTATTTTATCTTTTACTGTGTGCCAGGCAGTCATACAGATATCTGATTCAGTATGTATGTTCCATCTGTTTTCTGCAAAACAGATATAAATCTGGTCTAGGCTGCTCTTCTTGTGCAGTATGAACAGCTATAAAAGACTGGTTCAAACTTATAAGCATTAAAAATTCATAATTTGAATTAGCAGAATGGATGCATTGATTTTTGTTTTTAAATCAGCATAAATTTAAATATATAATTATTTTTTTGTGCAATAGAGTAAAGACAATGAGATTTTTTTGCAATATAGTAATGGCAGAAAATAGAGAACGGACAGTATAATCCTGTGCTCACATTATCAAATTGAATTTAACAGGGCCGGCACACAGACTGCCCTAAAAACATAGTGCTTGAAACTACAAATCATGCAACATTCAGTTAAAGAATGAAATTAAATCACACAGCTTTAAGTAGAAAAATATTCTAAAAATTGCATAATTTCTGTAACACTGTATTCTTAATGTATCATTGTTGCATTATTATGTTTGTTTGTCCTTATTCCTATTTTGAGATTTGGTGGTTGGCAAGTGAGGTTTTCTTGTAATATACTACTTTGACCAGCAGATGGTAGTAAATATTTGAAGGATTGAATTCAGTGTTTGTACTTCAGTGATAAACACAGATTTCAAAAAGCATTTATCACTTAGTTGTGAAAGTGTGGCTAATTGGAGCTGAGAGTTTATTTGAAATTAGCCAACATTTCTACTGTTTTATTTGGTGAATAAGATCTATATAATTGAATGTATTACTCAAGTCTGATATAAGCCAGAAAAACACTGATGTGATTTTCTTAAAAGCATGAAATATGGTTTAATCTTCCAACTTATTTTTTTTTTTATCTCCCCGAGTTACTTAAAAAAAAAAAAAATTAATACAGCCAAACCAAATAGGTGTCTTATGTCATTCATTATTAGTAACTTTCTTAAATATTTTTACTGGACTCTTTACATCAAGCTTTTAAAGATTCAGAAACCAGGCACTATATAGAGCTTTACATGCTTTACCTTTCTAACGTGTGCATAATTTAGAGGAATTTAAGTTGAAGTAATAAGCATTATTTGGCTAGAACCTTGTGGTGTTTTTATTTTTTTATATTTTGAATATTGCATTTGTGTTTTCACAAAAGTGGATTAAAAAAATGAAAAGGGAATAAACTAAGTCAGAGGGCTAGCTAAAAAATGGTGGGTGAAATTAACTTCTGATCAAAGAAAGGGTTGCCAAATGAGATACAATGTGCCCGCAGTGTCTCTGGCGAATAAACAATTTAATTCTTCTGCGAAGTTTGAGGTCTCCTTCTATTGATTTAGCTCTTGTGAGTTCTGCCATATCTGTGCTAGCACAGCAATGGGTGGGAAAACAAATGGAATAG